TACAAGATATCCTAGATCACCTTCACTATTTCTTGTGAGGATGCAGAGCAGATTGAAATGAACACAAAAGTCCCATACCGTTTTGCAATATTCTCAATAATAACCGAGAAATTAATTGTAAAAGATTAAGGAAAATCACACGCTGAATGGTTAACCTCTTGACTGTGGAAGCAGAAATGGACTAGTCGTGCCATTTTTGTATTGGAAAAAAATTTTGTCGAATTTTCTTTATGACATTATTATAAAGGTTTTTAAGGTCGCTGAATGCGAATTTAACATTAAAATTTCGAAAATGAAAATGGCAGATCCAATATGACAAGTCAAAATTTTGAAAATAATCGGATTTTTATGAAAATCGGTATTTGTTTTTGGGATCATTGAAATTTGATATCAAAATTTCAAAATCCAAAATGGTGGATTGAATATGGCGAATCTAAATTTTGAAAATAATCGGATTTTCATGAAAGTGGGTGTATTCAGACATTTCGTCTAAACAAAAAAATTAAAAAATTAAAAAATTATAAAAACAAAGAAAATATATAAAAATGAAGTCAAAAACCGCTACGTCCTTGTTTTTGTGGCTCCGGGTTCGACAGAGAGCGGTATTATGTAAATGTTTTTTTACTTAAAAATTTTTTATTTCACTATTTGAAATTTAAAAATTTTGATATCAAATTCGAATTCAGCGACTCCAAAAACATATAGATACCCACTTTTATGAAAATCCGATTATTTTCCAAATTTTGACTCGCCAATTTTAGATCCGCCATTTTGAATTTCGAAATTTTGATATCAAATTCGGAATCAGCGACACCAAAAACATATAGATAAACATATAAATAAACATATACATATAGAAAAACATATACTCACTTGTATGCAAAGAACAAATTTTACTATTTTTTTCTTAGATGCATATATACATGTTATCCATACTGATAGCACGATTTTTTCATGCGCGTATACAACGTCATCCACAGTTGAGGGGTTAAAGGACCAGCGCTCGCGATCCAGTAATATAGCAGGCGGATGTCAGCGCGCAGCTTATATCGTTACAATCCTTTGTCTTGCCGCACTGCGCCGAGGCGAGATGTAGGAGTACAACGGTATAGGCAGTGGTGCGTCGTTTTTCCAATCACCGCACGCCGAAATCCGTACGCTATATTATTAGGTCGCAAGCGCTCCTCCTTCAACCATTCAGTTTTCAATGATATCATCATTTCCTTATCATTGTTTGAGTGCGTTTTTCCTTAATATTTTACAATTAATTTCTCGGTTATTTTTGAGAATATCGTAAAACGGTATAAGACTTTTGTGTTCATTTTAATCCGCTCTACATCCTCATGAGAGATTGTGAAGGTGATCTGGAACACTCTGTATACGTTGATCAAGGCATTTCTAACGCATTTACACATTCAAACATTAATAATTTAAAAGTGAATCTTACGTTCGTGTCTTACAAACCAGGTACAGAACTATCATTCTGTAATTTTAAAAAATTAATAAATAATTACGTGCAATGCGATACAAAGTATGACGTAAATACGATTTATGTTGTATATTTGTACTACATTAGGTCATATTGAACAAAAAAGTCCTTTACTTTGTACATTTTTTAGTTATTAATTAAATATTGGCGAATAATTCAATGTGATCGCTCACTAATCTTCTTTAATTAATATCTAAAAATCTACGTGATTATTTGCAAAATTTTAGCAAGATTAAATAAGAGAATGACAGTAAGAGCCTGTGCACAGTTATTATTGTGCAATACTCTGGTAAACATTTTTTAATGAAAATTTCTTAATTTTGCTAAAAATTTTTCTGAAAAATTCTGGAAAATTCAAGAAATTGGAACATTTTCAGAAAAATTCAGCGAAAGTTATACTTCATAAAAATAAAAATCTATTTCTCTGAAAATTTCGGAATTTTTCAGAAATTCTCTTCTTTCAGAAAAATGCAGAGAAAGTCAGGAAGGGTTGTACTTCATAGAAATAAACTGAATTTCTCTGAAAATTTTTGAAATTTTCAGAAAATTTCTGAATTTTTCTAAAAATTTATGAATTCTCTATATTTCTTAAAAACCCTGTTTTCAGAAAAAATGACATACAAAAAGTTTTTGAATTTTTTTAATTGTCTTATACTATATACAATCTACATAAAGAAAAACGCTTAAATTTTCTTAATTACATAATTCTTAATTACAATTAATATAATTATCATTTTACATAATGTAATAAATGTAATAAACTTTTCATGTATTACTAGAATCTTACTAAAAAATTGAGAAAATCAAAATTTATAAAAAAAAAGATTCGTTTATTTTGATGCCAACGTTTGAAAAAATTTTACTTTCCATATAACCAAAAAAAACATGCGATTTTCAAAGAAAGTCATAAATTGTCATTAAATAATTATAAGAATTTTCTGGAAATATTGTACTCTGACATGTCAGATAATACAAATTATCTTTTTCGACAAAAGTAAGATTTTTTTCAGGAAAAGTAAGAGTCTTCTAGAGAAACTTTGTACCAACTTTTTAATGCAACTCTCTTTCTCTGAAAATTGTTTTCAGAGAAAGAGAAAAATAATTTTAGTTTTCAGGAAAAATAATTTTTTTTCAGAACTTTTCATTTTTCCACTTTTATATCTCGAAGTAGATAGGTAAACTCTCAGCAAAAATAAAATTTTTTCAGAGAAAGTAAGATTTTATAAAAAAAAGTAAGGGTTTTTCAGAAAAAACTCTTTAATGAAAATCTTCGACATTCTCTGAAAATTATGTTTTTCAGAGAAAATAATTTTTTCTCCAAGTTTTTCATTTTTGTTACATTCTTATATGTTGGAGGAGGCAAGTCAATTTTCTCAGGAAAAGTTCGAATTTTTCAGAAAAAGATTTTTTTCATGAAAAGTAAGGGTTTTTCAGGGAAACCTTATATATAACTGTTCAATGAAAATCTCTGACTTTCACTAAAAAACAGAATTTTCAAAGAAAATCAGACATTTTCAAACTTTTTCATTAAAAACATTGAAAAAGTCTGTAAAAATCCTTACTTTCTCTAAATAGCCCAATTTTCAGAAAAATTCTGAAATTTTCATTAAAAAATTTTCACCAGACTACAGACTTTAGTAAATATATTTTATTGTGAAATTTTCAAAATTTTAGAGAACCTTTTGTTTAAGACTTAATGTACAAGCATACAATAGAATTCGTATTTATTATCTGCACTACATTGCGCGCGATTATTTACTAATCTGTTTTTAATTAATAATTAAAAATTTACGTTGTTATTTACAAAGTGATAAAGGAATTTTGTGTTAAATTTAATTTAAATATACACAAGTGTCTTTCGTCAAACGTATAATATACAAAGTATAAAATATAATGGTTAACATAATATAAAATACATAAAGGATCGGACAATGAAACATAAAACTTTCTTGTACTTATGTGTGTTATGTAGATTAAGTCAAACTAAACAAAACATTCTTCTATCATTTTGCAAACAACCACGTAAAATTTTAAGTTATTAATTAAAGAAGTCTGGTCGTTTGAAATATAATATCTAAAATGTGACGATAAATATATTTAATATATATATATATATATATATATATATATATATATATATATATATATATAATTAAATATATAATATATATATATATATATATAATTAAATATATTTTGCGTTTTGTGCTTGTACATTATAGGTCAAATGGAATACAAAAACCATCTATCTATTTTACAAATAACCGCGTAAATTTTTTAGTTATTAATTAAAGGAGACTGGTGTATAATCACGCATATGGTTGTTCGTCAATTTTTTTAAATTAATAACTAATTTAAGATTTACGTTTTTTTTGCAAAATTGTGGACATTTTTTTTGTCCATTTGACTAATGTACAAGCACACAATATACTTACCGTCACATCTTAGACTATAATTCACAAGATTATTTGCCAATCTGTTTTAATTAATAACAAAATTTTACGTTGTTGTTTGCAAAATGATAAAGCAATGTCTTGTTCAATTTCACCTTATCTATATGTGCGCGACACACACACACACGAAACTTTTATATTTATCATTATATATCCTATATAAAATGTGTGTTTGTATGTGAATATAATATGATAATATAATAATATAATAAGAGAATGATATAAATATAATATAAATATTTTTGTTTTTAAAAGAAATATGACATATCTTTTGAACCCTTTAGATTTTTACATTTTAGGTAAGTATTTAAAAAGTTACGCATATTACGCATACTAGCGTATTCAATTAATTAAGACATTACGTAAGTCGAAATAACCGATTTAATTGTGTTGCAAATATTTAAGAATTTCTTATGATTTTGGTGGTCAAGTGGCCCAGATAGACAGAGATGCTGAACATAACATACAAACATTTAACGTATACTTCGTGATCATATTGTAACAGCACGTGTTTAAAATATGTTTATTTTAAAAAATACTAATTTATTGTTAGATATTTATAAGAAATGTGTGTAAGAAATATTTATTTATATTATTATTAATAAAAGTTATTAATTATTAATTATTATTAATTATTTATTATTATTAGTAAAATATTTACTTCTTATTATTACAATAATTCCAAGTTAATCCTAGCGATCTAGGAAAAAATGCGATTAACTTGAAATTATTGTAATAATAAGAAGTAAATATTTTATTAATAATTAATAAATCAATATAAGCTGTACTTTTCATGATATCAAAATATAATTTATAATATCAAATTTATAGTATCAGATTCTTTCATATACCGATAACATTCTCTCTATAAAGACGTAACTTTTTGTACTTGTATTAGTTACTAAGCAGAAAATATGCTGAAATATGTCTATCTGGGAATCCTATTAAAATTCAAAAAAACAACTGTATTTCTCCATAGAAATAAATGATTTATATGTTTAAATAAAAATAAAATAGAAAAGAATCTTATATCTTGTTATCTTTTATTACGTACGAACCTGAAAAAATGACGATGGCGGTGAGCAAAGCGTACTCAGCATTATTGACCTTCATAGCGTACATTTGCCGGCAGAATCGTAAAAGATCCTCGATAGTATCACCCATCCCAGCTACGTTATAGCTGTCGCGTGTGTATGGTTGATTATTCGCGAAAATTATGCTATCAGTTTGCACATCATATTTTCTTGCCATTCGCAACATCATTACTTCGCTGGAGCATGCCTTCAATAAAGTGATCTGATCCTCGCGCATTAACTCGTTGAAGCCGGGTAACCTTTTTGAAAACTCAACTATTAGTTGAACGGTTAAGATCGTGATTTCGGTGATGTGCCTGAAACTATAGTCACTGGGGTCTTCGCCTTCCATTGGTTGATTCTGAAAGAATAAATGTATCACGTTAGATATAAAATTATTATTTGAATTAATTTGAATATTGAATAAAAAACATTTAATCATTTAATCATTTAATCAGACTCAAAGAAAAAGGTTTGCAAATGTTTCTTATAAATTTTTATGTTTATGATGTAAATATTAATAGGCATTGAATTTATTGTAATGCAGTTAAAATTGTACTTTATATGTACCTTTTCGAGCATTTAATGATTATTATTATCTTTTGACGCTAATTCGATATATTGTGTTATTTTTAGTTTCCCAGATTTAGACTACGTTTTATACCTTATACAGCACCAAAAAGTTACATTTCATAATCATTATTCAGCAATATTTTATATATGTTGTTGCAACGTTGTTACAAGGTTGAAACAATATTAAAATATCTACCTTCAAAAACATTGCAATATAACATTAAATGCATTCAGTATTACAACCGCTCATCGAGCGAGTTCATGCATCCTTATATTGACATATTCTTTCAAATCTAAAAATATATTCCAATCAAATACAAGAGCTTACTAAGCGCTTAGTGAACAGTTAATAAGCTTTTGCATCTGATTAGTGTATATAAGATATATATGTATATATATGTATATATATGTATATATATATATATGTATACATATATATGTATATATATGTATATATATGTATATATATGTATATATATGTATATATATGTATATATATATATATATATATGCATATATATATATGTATATATATGTATATATATATATGTATGTATATGTGTGTGTATATATATATATACATATATATATATATATATATATGTATATATATATATACACACACATATACATACATATATATATATACATATATATACATATATATATATGCATATATATACATATATATATATATATATATATATATATATACATATATATACATATATATACATATATATACATATATATACATATATATACATATATATACATATATATACATATATATCTTATATACACTAATCAGATGCAAAAGCTTATTAACTGTTCACTAAGCGCTTAGTAAGCTCTTGTATTTGATTGGAATATATTTTTAGATTTGAAAGAATATGTCAATATAAGGATGCATGAACTCGCTCGATGAGCGGTTGTAATACTGAATGCATTTAATGTTATATTGCAATGTTTTTGAAGGTAGATATTTTAATATTGTTTCAACCTTGTAACAACGTTGCAACAACATATATAAAATATTGCTGGATAATGATTATGAAATGTAACTTTTTATATATATATATATATATATATATATATATATATATATATATGTACATATATGTATATATATGTATGTATATGTATATATATATATATATATATATATGTATATATATGTATATATATGTATGTAACGAGGCGCTTTGGTCTCATTCCTTTTTTCTGCATAACACGTTCCTTTTTCTTTTTCTATGTATTAGGTATACAACTTTGCTTCCGCCGTTTTCCTATAGATGGCTTTAGCGGTAAGTGGTGGTAGAAATAAATAGATCATATAATAAATTTGGGCATCTGTCAACATAACCCCATAGAAACATTAGTCGATTTGTGTCTGCATCATAAAGTTATTCTCGATTGAAAATGTCATTTTACGAGCCAAATTCTCGTCATCTGCGGAAGGTTTTAATTTTCTGCTTCAATATGAAGAAATCTGCGGCTGAGGCTCATCGAATGTTCTCAAATATTTATGAGGCCGCTATTAGTGAAAAAACGTGTCGTGAGTGGTTTCAACGCTTCAAGAACGGTGATTTTGACGTCGAAGACCGGCATAGCGGTGGAAGAGAGAAGGTTTTCGAAGATGCACAATTGGAGGCATTACTTCAAGACTCGTGTCAAAATCAAGAAGAATTGGCACGATCATTGGGGGTGACTCAACAAGCCATTTCAAAACGCCTCAAAGCCATGGGAATGATTCACAAACAAGGAAATTGGGTGCCATACGAATTGAAGCCGAGAGATGTTGTACGGCGTTTGTTTGCTTGTGAACAGCTGCTTGAAAGGCAAAGACGGAAGGGATTTCTGCATCGCATTGTGACTGGGGCGAAAAATGCGTTCATTACGATGACCCCAAGCGCAGAAAATCATGGGGAGTTCCCGGCCATGCTTCCACGTCGACGGCCAAACCGAATATTCACGGCTCCAAGATCATGCTCTGTATTTGGTGGGACCAGCTCGGCGTAGTGTATTATGAGCTGTTAAAACCGACTGAAACAATCACAGGCGATCGGTATCGAACGCAATTGATGCATTTGAGCCGAGCATTGAAAAACAAACGGCCGCAATACAACGAGAGACACGATAAAGTGATTTTGCAGCATGACAATGCTCGACCCCATGTTGCGAAAGTGGTCAAGACATACTTGGAAACGTTGAAATGGGAAGTCCTACCCCACCCGCCGTATTCTCCAGATGTTGCTCCCTCTGACTATCACTTGTTTCGATCAATGGCACACGGCCTGGCTGACCAGTACTTACGGTCTTATGAAGAAGTAAAAAATTGGATCGATTCGTGGATCGCCTCAAAAGATAATCAGTTTTTTCGACGCGGGATTCGTACGCTGCCCGAAAGATGGGAGAAAGTAGGGGCCAGCGATCGACAATACTTTGAATCATAAATGTATAACCAGTTTTTTACAATAAAGCCTCGAATTTCGGAAAAAAAACGGCGGAAGCCAAATTGTAACCTAATATATTAAGTTATTGTTCAGCATAGCTATATCTATTTGTTCACGTTTCTAGTTTAATATATCTTTTGTTCTTTTCTACGGGTTCAAATAATTTAAAATTCTCTATCCTCATATAACGGGTCAAGTACCCAGGAATATCGCTCTGCGCTGCTAAGAGGCGCATGCCAGGCACCGAGCCATCGCTCGCAGTCAAATATCTGCGAGCCTTACGATAAAAGGCGGGCTCGCGAGGCTCTCAGCACCATAGGTTTGTTGGAGTTGCTTATACTATTCACACTTTTACACCTAATGCCCGTTGCGCACTAGTGCAACTCATATAATACAAATTTTCCGAAATACGTTCTGAAGACGCTTTTAAGACGAAGGGATATCATCAGAGGCGTTTTTTCGTTTCATGACCACGGTAGCGTTTGGTTGGTTAGTTTGGTCCACTTAACGCTCGCAACGCCGCGAGCGTCATTCTATCTTTGTTACTTGAGCGTTGCGAGCGTTAAATGGGCCAAACTAATCAACCAAACGCTACCGTGGTCACGAAACGAAAAAACGCCTCAGAATATTTTTAGGACGTCCTTTGATGATGTGAGCTATTTGAAAATAGCTAATATCCAATAAGTTTATTCGCATTAATTGAACTTTTTACACTTTCACACTTAGTGCACTTTAATTCTTTAGAGGTTCTAAAAATGACGTCATGATTTCCGTTCGAGTGTAAATGCAATTCTGATTTTGATCCCAATCAAGAATAAAAAGTGTATCAGAATTGCATTTATACTCGTAACACGAACGGAAAACATGACGCCATTTTTAGAACCTCTAAAGAATTAATATGCACTAAGTGGGAAAGTGTAAAAAATTCAATTAATGTGAACAAACTTATTGGATATTAGCTATTTTCAGACAATTTATACTTTTAAAAGACGTCCTAAGATATATTCTGATATTCTGATAATCTCCTGAAAACATCTTCAGAATGTATTTTGGAAAATTTTTGTTGCTTGGAGTGCACTAATGTGCAATGGGCATTAGGTGTAAAAGTGTGAAAAGTACAAGCAACTCAAACAAACCTCATGATGTAAATATAAAGATGTACCATTGCGCATGATGACGTCACACGTAGTGACGTAATACATAATGTACCAATTAGAAATGACCAAGAATACAGCCGCAAAATTCAAATACCCAAAATTAATCGTACATTACTAATATGTATTTAAACTTAAAATCTGTAATATATATATATATATATATATATATATATACATATATACATATATATATATACAGGGTGTCCCGAAGTCCCATGATGACCCTTGGTGAGAACGTAGAACGGATTGAGGTGAGCAAGAAAGTCCTGTGCCGTTTTGCGATATTCGCAATAGTTTTTGAGAAATTAATTATTTTGTCTCAACAAATCAGCGTACAGAAAGCGGCAGCGGAAAGAAAGATGCCTTCGGCCGACGTGCGACCGTGACACTCGCGAATCGTATCTCGCCGCATCCCTCCGCCCATAGCTAC